CTAGACCCTTATTATAATTATCTTTAAATTTTAATTGTTTTTCTATCATGGACACAACTACCTCACTTGACACGCCAAATTTCTTAAAGTTAAATTCAACATCTTTATATTTGGCTTTTAATGCATCAAGTTCGACAGTTAGATTAGCAATCTCTACTTGAGCATAGTTATATTGTTCACATTTAATACTATATTCTTCCTTAATTCTTTTTAGGTCTTTGGTTTGGGCCTCTAATTGTTGTTTTAAGGGTTTTTGGGCCTTTCTGAGAGTATATCTTTCATATTTAAGGTCCTCAATTTCCCTAATTAATAAATCATATTGATCACGATAAAGTTTAATTGTATCACTACATGCTTAAGAACAGGAAGTTTCATTGACCTCTTTTGTGATTGATGAACTCATAGTTTACCAAAAAGAATAATTTACCAAAAAATAGTAATTGTTTTAAGTGCCCTTTGATTTAAAAACTCGAAAGTCAAGCTTGAAAGTCAAACTTGAAAGGCAAACTTAAAAGTCAAACTTGAAAGTCAAATCTGAAAAGTCAAACTTAAAAGTCAAATCTGAAGGTCAAACTTGAAAGTCAAAAGTCAACTCTGAAAGTCAAAGATGAAAATCAAAGATCTTTGTCCAAAAAGAATAACCTTGACCGAAAACAAAAACTTCTAAACCGAAAACGAAAATTTCTAGACCAAAACCGAGAATATTTGACCAAATACGGGTATTTTTGATCAAATATGAGGCCTAAGGACCAAAAACGAAATTATTGGATTGAAAAATATGGCAATTTGACCAAAAATAAGCAAAATTATGGAAATTCCGAAATTATAACCGAAATTGCGAGGATGATATATCCGAATCCGAGAACAGGGGGTGAAATCCGAATCCAAGAACAGGGGCGAAATCCCAATCCGAGACTGCTGAACCGAGAACTTGAGAAGCCGGAAACGTGCGAGACCGAGAACCTTGTAGACCGGAAACAACGGACCGTAAACCTTCGCTCTGTGTACCTCGCTTCGCACCGTGAACTGCGCCCCGTCCGAAATCGCTTCTGAGCTCCGGAAACGCTACTGGCCGAAAATGGCTGCTGACCGAGAACCTGCGAAGCCGTGTCCGGGATTTCCTAGGAATCTTGACCGAGACCGAGGATCTCGCTGAGATTTCGCAAAATTTGGCCAAAAAACACCCAAAACTTGCCAAAAACACGAAAATTTTAATTTTTAAAATCAAACTTGATTGAAACTTCAAAAATATGAAGAACACGAAGAACAATAGCCAAAAATTCATAAAATGTAAATAAAAAACACCAAGAAACTTCAAGAAAAACCGTTTGCAATGACTCGATTGATACCGATGCAAGCTCTGATACCACTTGTAAGTCCCGAATTCTCCTACAAATCAACCGGATTCACTTTGATGGTGCGGAATCCCAATCAAAGTGTATAATGCAAGACAAAGATAAATAAGAACAAGATAATTAATCTTCAATGCACACTATTATCATTTAATAGTGGGGTACATAAGATGTTGATTACACACTGTTCTCTATTGGTTCTCTCTAAACTCACGTCCTTGGCATATGTCAGCCCCTAGAACGTCCATCACTCACTTCTAACTCATTTTCAAGCCTAAATAACACTATATATACCTTGGCCTAATAACCAAGCCCAAGCCCAAAACCTAAACAAAACAATATAAAGCCTAACCAAAATCACATGTGATTTTGGTCCAAAGAACACCAAAACATGGTGTTTTCGGTCCTACACCGAGAACTCTAATAGCTTATGAAAAACAAAGTATAAACCACAATTTATGACCTAACAAAATCATCGGACACAGAGCCTTCCTCCTTTACTGTTGCTAACAAATTTGTTGAGTGTCGCAGGGCTATAGCTGAGGAGTACTCTACACTGGTTCGGAATGACACTTGGAATCTTGTCCCTTTTTCAGAAAATTGTAACATTGTTGAGTGCAAATGGGTATACAAAATTAAGCGAAAAGCGGACGGAACCATCAAACTTCATAAAGCCTGTTTTGTTGCCACAAGATTCCATCAACAACCAAGTATTGACTTTGAAGAAACTTTCAGTTCTGTCGTCAAATCTACCACAATTTGGGCGGTTCTCTCACTTGTCGTCTCTCAAGGGTGGTCGCTACGTCAGCACAATGTTCAAAATGCCTTTCTCCATGGGCATCTTAATGAGACTATATACATGTCTCAACCCACAAGATTTATTGATCATGCACATCCATACCATGTGTGTCGGCTCAAGCAATCTATCTATGGTTTAAAACAGGCACCCCGTGCTTGGTTTCACCGACTCTCTAGCGCTCTGGTTAATCTTGGATTTACCGGCTCTAAGACCGACTCATCATTGTTCATCTAGTCTCGGAGCTCTGTTGTTCTTTACATCTTCGTCTACGTTGATGATATTATTGTGATAGGGAACAATGCATCCCATATTGATCGCCTAGTTTCCACTATTGGATCTGAATTTGCCTTAAAAGATTTAGGTGGCTTACATCATTTTCTTGGGATTGAAGTTATCTCGAGTGGATCAGACATTATCTTGTCCCAACAACAATACGTTCTTGACTTATTGCGTTGGGCGGGTCTCTCCGATGCCAAACCAGTGCCTTCCCCTATGTCATCGACAATGCAACTCACCCGAGCATCTGGTACACCGTTTGACGATCCAGCAAAGTATCGTCAAATTGTTGGTGCCCTGCAATATGCTACCCTTTCTCACCCAGACATTGTTTATGCTGTTAACAAAGTTTGCCAATTTATGCATGCACCGACGGATCATCATTGGTCGGCAGTCAAATGTATTCTTCGGTATCTTCGAGGCACGAACCCTCTTGGACTTCTTATTCGAACCAATTCCACACTGGCCCTATATGCCTTTTCCGACTCTATAATTAATGCCTTCTCCGACGCTGATTGGGCCGGGTGTCCGGATGATCGGAGATCGACAGGAGGCTTTGCTATATTTCTTGGTACAAATCTCATTCCCTGGTGTTCACGGAAGCAACGAACGGTCTCCCGCTCCTCCACCGAGGCGGAATATAAAGCCATGGCCGACACTGCTGATGAACTTGCTTGGCTTCAGGCTCTGCTTAGAGAACTGGGTGTTAGTACACATGCATCTCCAACACTTTGGTGTGACAATATTGGTGCTACCTACCTCTCCGCCAATCTAATGTTTCACGCTCGCACAAAACACATTGAAATTGATTTTCACTTTGTGAGGGAAAAGGTCTCTAGAGGTGAGCTATGGGTTCGGTTTATTTCAACTAATGATCAAGTGACCGATGTCTTCACCAAGCCACTATCAACACCCAGGTTTCAATTTCTTCGGTCCAAGCTTCAGGTCGTGTCCCGCCCTTAGCTTGTGGGGGAATATTAAACCAATGTTTAACAATAGTTTATAGTTAAGGGGTTAGTTTGCAAATATGTTTCCTATATATATATATATATATATATATATATATATATATATATATATATATAAACGTAATGAGAAAAAGATTACCTTAATCAATTAAGGTTTTATAATAGTCTTTTGAGATTATGGGTTCGATTTGTTGGAGTGTTGAGATTTTGTTCTATGTGGGGAGAGATGGCAAAATATTCGTGTGTATGTAAATAGAAAAAGAAAAGAATGATGTAAAAAAATAATAGTTTGAATTGGTAAATTTATTGATTAATTTTATTAAAGTTTTGATTTATTTTGCATATCAGCCGTTTGCAATGGCTAGTAAAATGGTCAAAAAAAGTTTAATGTCTTGTATTTTCTCGTTGGGTGCAGTTCATGGTGTTAACTATAACAACAAACCCCAGTCGTTTCATCACGAAAGGTTAGGGATGGTATGCATAATCATAATGACTTTGCCACCGACCACAAAGCCTTCGACCTTAAATGCAACTTCTTAGGTGGCGTTTGGTTCGCAGAATGTTTTTGATGGAATTGGAATTTGTTAAGGAATTGAAATCTGTCGGGAATTGCAATTCAGTTCTATATTCTGTTTGGTTGGCAGAAATGAAATATGAATCCAATTCCATATTATGTTTGTTGGCAGAAAATGGAACTAAAATAATATAAAATAACAAGATTTCTTTTTTCCTTTTTTTGTTTTTTTTCTTTGTTTTATAACTTATATGTAAAAATATATTATATAACTTATAAAATTAATAAATGATGGTGATGGTGCCAATGATGTTGATGGTGGAAATAGTGATGATGATGGCGATGGAGGTGATGGTAGGTAGTGGCGGAGGTGATGACTGTGGTGGTGGTTGTAATTGTGATGGTGATGGTGGCAGTCATGAGTAGTGGCGGAGATGGTGGGTGGTGTAGTGATGGAGGTGGCAATTGTGGTGGGTGGTGGTGATGAAGGTGGTGGCGAAGGTGTTGGTGTTGGTGGCGGAGGTGATGACGGTGGTGGTGGAGGTGGAAGGTAGTGTGGTGATAGAGGTGGTGATGGTGGTGGAGGTGGAGAGTGATGGTGATAGTGGTGGTGTTGGGTGGTTATGGCGGCGGTGGTGGTGGTAGAGGTGGTGTGTAGCGGGTGGTAACAGTGGTGATGTGTGGTGGTGGAGGAGGTGGTGGTCGTGGCGGAGGTGGTGATAAGGTGGTGGGTCGCGGTGGCAGTGGTCGGCGGTGATGGAGGTGACGGTACTAGTGGGTGGAGGGTGGTGGTAACGGAGGTACCGGTGGTGGTGGTGTGTAGCGGTGGTAGTGGGTAGTGGAGGAGGTGGAGGTGGCGGTGATGGCGGCGATAGAGATGTTTCATATGTAGTGTTAAAAGTAAAATGAGTCATATGGTAACATTCAACATTCTCATTTGAAAGGAATTTTAATTCCTTAAGTTTTTGGATGCAATTTATTTTCCTTCGTTGGAAGGAAAATTTGACTCATTTAGGAATTCAATTCCTTTTGAAAGCTTGAACCAAACAAAGGAAAGTGATAAAATTAGATTCCAATTCCATCTAATTCCAATGGATTCCAACGAACCAAACGACACCTCTTTTTTCGGTTATAAGACTGGAGGGAGTGGCTCGCTACCCAAGCTTGCCTCCAGCTCACTACAAGACGCCAACATCACTCCCATCAAAATGCTAGATGCTAAGGTTGACTCGCCATGGACATAGCCAGATGAGAGGAAAGATAGAAACGTGGATGGTAAGCTTTCATTGGCTGAAACTTTTTTTTTTTTTTTTAAAAAGTAAAAGTTTTTTTTTTTGAAAGAGCATTCAAAAATAAAAGTTATTAAAGTAACACAACACAACTCCTTATTTTTTGCAATTGGATGCTACCACTTTCTATATCCTATGTGGCTTCAAAAAATTTGGCATGACATCAAAAATTATGATGTGACAACATGCTACAACTCACTCCAATATAACAACTATCTCTTATAAGTTGTTTGTAATTACCGCAAATCTATTTATTCAATAAAAGGACAAATAAAATTTTGCGTGTTAAATTTTAAATATAAGGACACATACTATTGTGAAATAATTCTTAATGAAAGGACAAATAATATCGTGAAATAAATACGATGGCAGCCTTACCTCTCAAACTAGACGTGAAAGAAATCAAATGAAATTGTATTATTTTTGTTATTTATTTTTTTTGTTATCAAAGGACAACCTATTGATACTTGGATTTGCATTACGTGTGTTTGTATCAAAATATAACCATAGTGTTGTTTTTGCAATCATCAAAGTACTTTCTACTTTCTTTATTTATTTTTTTAAAAAAATGGATAACAAAAAAAATGTCTCTTACAAGTTGTATTAGGCCGTCCGGAGTACCGACAACGAACCTCGTCATGGTCTAGCTGGCCACGAACCACGATTGTGAACACCGCCCCAATCCTCTCGTTGTGCTGATCTGGAGCCACGGTCGTTGTCTTTCGTGCTTCCCACGGTCCCACCACAAGCCACCACAACCAATTTTCTTCTCACTTCCTCTCTTCTTCTCTGTTGTTCGTGAAATCCACTACCACCACAATCACTGTGTGATGAGTATACCGGTTTCATTGTGGAAGGAAGGTGGAAGGCGATGATGCTGTGGTGGTTCGTGGTTCGTTGCCGGTATAATGGATGGTCTTATAAGTTGTATTGGGGACCTTTGAAGCATCTTCAAATCACATTTTAGTTGCAGTCATATTTTATTTGTATTTTATTTTTAGAGTATAAAATAAAGTATGTAATGGTTTGACTCCAACCTCATGATAAATAAAATATATGAATGATTATATAATTAACAATTTAAAGTTTAATTTTTTATTTCTCTATTTGAAGAGTATAAACAAAACTAGGGTGAAACCTTTATTCTATTTTACACATTATAAATAAAATGTAATATACAAATAGAAATCGAATGAAATTAAAGATGCTTTTATTTTCTCAAATAAATACATCAATTTTATCCATTGGTAATTTGGCAAGATCCCCTGTACATGATTTAGATTTAACACCTTGATTTAAATATTTTTATGTATAAGGTCATCCAAAATTTTATTTTACATTCTAAAATAAAATTTTATTTTATATTCTAAAATAAAGTGTACGAGAGATTATATAATTTACGCTCTATAAATAAAATAAAATATAAAAATAGAATAAAATTGAAGATACTTTTATTTTCTCAAATAAATACATCTATTTTATATATTCATAAAGAAAGCATGAATATAAATATAGTAAGTAAAAACATATTAATTTTTAACGAGAGTAATCTAAACAAAATTTGTAGTGAACTCAAATACGAATACATGGTCATAAAGATCGTTAAAATCTAAGATCGTATGAAGAAGTTACGACGTTCAGAATACAAGACCTAAACCAAACAACAAGACTAAGCAACCAAGCAATCGAGACTGTAGTGGCTATAAACATCAACAACCTCAGACACCTCATTAATGATTGTCACAACGTAGGATGTCGTGAGCAAAACCTAAAAAGCGGTCATAAATACTGAATGTGTACAAAAACAATAAAGACTTATCTTGCAACAAAAATATAAGGACTAAATGTATAAAAAGTAATAAATATATTACCTTATTAAGTCATTTTTCATAGTTTACCTAGAGTAGCCGGTCATAAGGATTAAAGACTGAATGTGTACAATTTAAACAAGCTAAAGTGGTAAATGGGAACGAAAAAAAACTCAGTAACCAAATATGTACAAATCGAAAACTATATTGCCCTTTTAAGTCATTATCCCTTAGAGGAATTTGGTTCTTAGCCATTAAAGAAACTTTTATTATCCCTAACTTGATCTGCAAATTGTATTGTATTTAGATCTCTATAAGTTCTTTTATTTTGGAGATCCATTACTCCATATTTGATTCAAGATCATTTTGTTAGTGTAGGGTTAAGGTTTAGGTCTAAAGCCCTTAGGGTTTAGGTATTGTCTTTATATATTTTTGAAAAATAAGAAAGTTATCGTATTTATATAATCTCGGAGCTTTAGATTAAGCCCTGTGAAGTTGACCACAAACCTAAGCCGTCGACCTCCACCTTCGCATAGTCATCGTCGGACGTGCCTTCTCTTGTCGTCATCACCTCATTTTTCGCTGCCGCCTGGAGATCTAGTGCCACCGCCGCTGCCTCCGGTTCTAGCAGTCGTCGCTATCTCTAATTCTTAATTTTTTACTCTACAATTCTTATTGTCGGTCTGCATTTTTTGAATCTACTATCTCTTTCTTTTCATATTTGTCAGTTTAATCGTCGTCGTCCGGTAGTTCTTCTCCCGATAAAACTGTGGGGATGTTAGTGTGTAGGGTTAGGGTTTAAGCTCAATATGTTTCTTTGCGATGCTTATTTGAAAGATAATAACTTGCAAATTAATTGCCTATATCGATGGCCACAATAAGATATATGGAATCAAAAAACAAGAAAAAAAAAAACTTGTAGCTTTCTTTAATGCATACAGTAACAAAAAAGGGTTGTGTCGGAAATGATGATGACAAGACATGAGAAGAACAGAGAAATCAAAATCGATTTCTTGGATATATGGAACTAGAAAAGAAAAACACCTATTCCAAATGTATTATCTAACTAACTTGTTTATTGGTTTGACCATTTAGTTTTGATGATATGATGGTTGTGTGATATATATTTGACATATCATTAAAATGACATGTGTATTATCATCTTCTTCACCCATCAAAGACCCAATATTCTCTTGCAAATCATCCTTAAACCAATTTGTTTTTGTTAATTATGTAAATATGTTCTAAATCATCGACGAAGATGTACGAAGATGGACACATAAATTCTTACTTTTGCCGTGATTGTCACATGCATGATGCATCGCACATGGTCTTTAACGGGTTGTTGCTGACGTCAAGTTTAAGAGACCATTTTGGAATAAAGGCTTTTCGATTTATACTAAAAATGCAATAAAATATAATTTGACTTAAAACTACATGTTATCAGATAATCGAGGGGCTATTTACGTAACTTAATTCTCGTAAGTCGTAACTCGTATGTTCCGACTTGCATTTTTGGCGGTGGCCATTTGTAATTGTCCGATTTCAGATAGAAAACAGACAGATAGATAGATAGGGCATCGATTAAACAATTAATTTGGGTGTTACGATCGAGTTGCTGTCGAAAATCTCTACACTCGCGATTATCGCTCATTCCTCTGTAAGTGCTGTCATTCAATTCGCAGTAAATTAGGAACAATTCTATAATCTCTCTCTGGGTTATTCGCAATCGAGAACCCAAACGAGGGTATTGCAACCTTTTGTTTATTTAATGCTGTTTTACTTCTCCGATTTCTTCAATTATGGATTATATTGAGTTTCAATTTTGGATTCACTGTGTTTTCCTTCACCGATTGGAAAGGAATTTCGACTTTTCGAGTGACATGTTTATTTATCTGAACGAACTTTTTTTGTTTCCACAAAAAATCTAGCCATAGTTGAGTTCGGAAACTTCATCGGATCTTTGTATGACCTTTCACCTCCCTAAATTTATAGAATTATAACCCCAGCTTGATTTAAATAGATGTTCTTGCAACTTACAAGTGAGCCAATTGGATTTTTCACTTTTTATCTACACATAAAGCCATAAAGGTCAATTGACGAAGAACAACACAATTTTTTTGTTGCTTTTGGAGTGTGATTGTTTGACAAATTTCATTTAACGTCATGTTTTTGCTTTTAGTAAAAGTAACTTCAGTTTTCTACGTTATTGCAGTGTATAACCGTATCTGTTGTTCTATGACATTGGTGATTTGAGAGACTTTAGGGTAAAGAAGGATGGCTTGTAAAGGGTTTTTAGAGTGCTTGTTGAAGCTCCTGAACTTCTTATTGACTCTTCTGGGTCTGGCCATGGTGGGCTATGGGATATACTTGTTTGTTATGTACAAAAATGCAACTGATGATGATATGGATGCCCTACCAACAAATGAAGGATTGATACAGCTTGGACGCCCTATGCTAATGGCTGTGTCACTGTCTAGCAACAGCTTTTTTGATCACTTGCCTACTGCTTGGTAACGTGCCTCTTGTTCATTTGTACTTTGATGTTTTGTATTTAACTATTTTTTGTATCATTTTTTCATATTGTCGCGTTTGATTTTAAGTTTGGATTTTATTGTGTTGCCATCATATTCTATGAACATAAAATCTACATTTAGGCATTTAGCAAGCTGCTCTTTGTTTAGTAGCCACTCAGGCCTTAGCTGAACTGAACTAAGCCTTATCCAGATATAAAGTATAAACCATGGGGAACTATGCACATACTTGGGGGTCATGCAATAGGTACCAATTGCAATGAAGATATATCATATTCATTTCAATTTAGTAGAACAACTTAATGTGTATCAAGAAATTTAAGATCAATCAAGATTGAGAAATCATGATAAATTTGAAGATGCATGTTACTTGATTGATTATGACAAAAGATTCTGAAGAGAAAGATATTTGGGGCTCTAGATTTATACTTTCTCTTAATTACTATTTTTCCATGATGTCATATCATTCAATTATCTATAGTGGTTGCCTGTTGAATCCAAGTTGATTGTTCTCACTGGAACATCAATCACCCATCTTAGAACATCTCCAATCCATAACACTATTTTTTGCACCACAATGGTGTAATATATGGTACAAACACTGATTCATCTCCAACCCACCATTTTTTACACTAAAAAATAATAATTTGGTGTTGGCTAGATAGTATCATATGCTATATAATTAAACAAAGTTTATAGGCTTTGTAAACTGGATGTTGAGTTGTCATGTAGTATGTAATAAAGTTGTAGAGTTGTGTGCTTGAATTGGTTTGAATTATGTAAATTGTAATGTTAAAGTAGTTATTTTGGGTGCAGGTTCATTTACCTATTTATTGGTGTTGGTGCAATTGTCTTTGTCATATCTTGTTTCGGGTGCATTGGTGCAGCAACAAGAAGCGGATGTTGCCTAACTTGCGTATCCTACTTTTTACATACACTTCACCTTTCTACTTTTGATGAAAATAAAATTTATTTGTTTTTGAGTTCCTTAAGGAAATTCAGTACTCATTACTTTTGATCTTGTTGATCTTGGTAGAAGTCGGATGTGCAGCTTTCATCTTCTTTGACAAAACCTGGAGAGATGTGAGTTTGCTTTTACCCACATCTTAATTCTCACCATGTTTCAAATGTATCTTGTTAATTAAACAAAAAAACAATTTTTTTTAGGAGATCCCAACTGATGAAACGGGACAATTCGACGCGATATATGGATTTCTAAAGAAGAACTGGAATATCGCCAAATGGGTTGCACTTGGAGCTATTATATTCCAGGTAAATGTAGCAATCAATTAATTAATTTATCATAGCATCATCATATACTTTTGTCGTGTCATGTTACAACATTGTACTTTGAAAAATCTACCCAGTTGAATTATAGCAGTACGTGTCATCCAAATAAATATATGCAGGCTTTGGTATTTTTGTTAGCACTTATGGTACGTGCTGCAAATGCACCACCAGAATATGACAGTGATGACGAGTACATAAGTGGTCCCCGCCAGCAACGCCAGCCTCTGATTGGTCGGCAACAGGCTCCAGTCACAGGTGTCCCCGTCACCGGAACCCTTGATAGCCGCCCCAGCAGAAATGATGCATGGAGTGCTCGCATGAGGGAAAAGGTGCATTTTCACCTTTTTTTTTTTTTTTTTTTTGTAAAATTAAATCAAAAAAAAAAAAAGAAACCAGATTAAGTGTTTTTTTTGTTGGTATGATTGCAGTATGGGCTTGATACGTCAGAGTTCACGTACAACCCTAACGACCCAAACAGAAGTCAGCAGGGCAATGCACAGCCGACAGAGGAAAAGGGTAGTTGCATCATCATGTAATGTCAGAGTGACACGTGGGCATGTCTGATTGGAGAGTTTGTTGGTTGTGACTGATTGGTTTGATGTAATGTAGAGTTAAAAAAAAAAACATAATTGTTATTGTTGTGTGTGTATAAAACATAAAATATCAGGAGCTTATAAGGCTCATGTTACTTGATCCGACGTTTGTGATGTTATCACGTTTGTGAGAAATGGACTCTTTGTATTTTGTAATGGTACCATGTTTGTGAATTGATTGTGGTGTGCTTGGTGTAGATAGTTTGATTAATGTTTTTGACATTATTAGCACACAGAATGTCACATGAGACATATGGGAGTATGTCCAATATGTATCTTAATTTTGAAAATTGAAGTTTTGTATTTTTATCTGATATCTAGTGCACGAAAAGTCGTAACGTCATTTTAATTAATTAAATTTCTTTGGTGATTTTAAGCCATTGAAATAAGAGGATGAAAGTGGGGATTTGGTATTTGGTTATGGTGGGGTGGGGACTGGGGAGGTGATAGATTGTCATTTGATATGCCAACCTCCAACATGGGTTCCACCACCACCCCTATACACTACCGTCGTTATTTTATTTATTCCTACTGTTCAAATAAAATGGAATCTTCCACCAAGATTATGTTTATGGGGTCCCTCTGTCGATAATCGAAGTCGATCACTTTATTCTCGATACCCTTGATTTGACATGAGTTGTAGTACAATGAAACCGGAATTTGGGGAAGAATATCGGGAATCTAATTAGTTTCTCGAAAAACTCTTACCTCCTTTTTTCTTTAATCCAATTCTTGTTATACTCTCCACATATATGTAAAAATATAGGAGACATATCTGCCATTGACACTTACCATCACCCTCAAGAGCAAGGCTCTATGAGGATAGACAACAAGGTATTAAGCAATAAAAAAGATAGTCAGTGTCTCTCATATCATAAAAGATATATGTAGAATTTTTTTGTTTAGTTTAAAATATATTTAATAGAAAGATAGTAAACTCCAAGCACGTAAAAAAATAAAAACCTTATCCAACCGATATTGGATATACTAGTAATATTGGATGTACTAGTAAGAAAACAATTCAATTACATGAACCAAACTTGCACAATTCAAAGACAAAATTGCAAAAATGGTCCCTGTGGTATGCATTTTTTTGGGGTTTTGGTCCAAACCCCGACTTTTTTGGATTGACGGTCCTTTTGAGCTACTTTGTTTGTGGTTTTTTGTCTCTCGTAATATTAAAAAGACAAAAATACCCTTCTGATACATTTTCTATATTTTTGTCTATTTAATATAAAGTTTTATTAATAAAAATTATGGGACCTCTCTCTCTCTCTCTCTCATCGCCTCTCTCTCTCCTTCCTCCCTCTCTCTCTCTCCTCTCCGCTCTCCCTCCTCTCTCTCTCTCGCTCTCTCTCTCTCTCTCTCTCTCTCTCTCTCTCTCTCTCTCTCCAGTTGAAGGAAAGAAAGCACCGGTGATTGTATCACCGGTCTAGGCTGCTCACCACCACGACTGCCGCCATAGACCACCACAACCCCACCGGAAACCATCATCGTCTGTCTTGGTCGAGCCCCACCACCATTCCCTTACTGTTTCTGTCGAGCAAGTTGCCAGCCACCACCCTACACCACCGTGTTCTTCCCCCTCTTGCTACTGATCGGAGCAAACTGCCACCACCATCTTAACCCACCTAATTTTTCGAACACCTCCTCCACCTCCCCATGTTGTGACCCACCACCAGCAAACACCCTTCCTAAACACCTCTGGACCATAACCTTGCTCCTCCCTGCCCGCTCTCTCGTCGAGCTCACCGGAAATGAAAGGAAACGAAGGCAGTGAAGCTGCCACCACAGCTTCGTCACCACCCACCGTTGGCAAAACCCACTTTACCACCCACCACCGCTGTGACTGTTGGCAAAACCCACTTCACCACCCACCACCCACCAAACGCCTCCATCCTGTCGTAACCCACCACCACCAAACGCCATCGTCGTTGCTGCTTCGTCTTGGTCCCTCGTCAAGCATCCGCCAACAGAAATGAAGCAGCAAGGTCGCCCACAACCACCAACCGCATCCACCCATCGGTGTCCTTCCATCGTCGTTGTAGATCAGGTAGTAGAAGAAGAGGGGGTGGGGTGAGGATCGTTTTTTCTCATCCTAACGCAGACTAAGTCGGAGGGGGAGAGGTCATCATCTGAAATCTTCGAGCTTCCTTTTGATACGTTGTTGAACGCAATCGATGGTGGGGGGATCGAGCGGAGTCATTGAAGGCTAACCACTGACGACTGTTTGTATATGTGGAGTGTGTGTACATATATGTGTGTATCGTGGAGTGTGTGTAGGTTCTTTATGGTGATAAGGGGAGGGAGAGAGAGAGAGAGAGAGAGAGAGAGAGAGAGGTGGGTCCGGTTTTATATTTAATAATAATAATAATTTTAAAAAGTGAAAGAAAAATGAAAATTAAATTCATTAAGGGTATAATAGTCTTTTTAGTTTGGACAGGGACCAAAACTGCATGTAACTAGCTTAAAAGGACCATCAATATGAGATTTTAACTAAAACCCCAAAAGAATGCATACCACAAAGACCATTTTTACAATTTTGTCTAATTCAAACGTGTATTCACTTTTTAATAGGTACTGAAAACCAATTTACTTATTTTTCATAAAATTTTTAATTATATTATTTATCGTAGATATTGTTTATTTAGTGTAAATTAACGGAACCTATAGAAATTGCAATTTGTTTAAAATTTTGAAAACGATAATTAAGATTTATAATTCACATAGTGGAAGGAGTCGAAAAAATAATCACTTCATCAGTGGCCCCTTTATATGATGGAATAATGCGGGCACAAGTGTGTTTCAAGCAATGTTTTAAAAAT